AAAAATTAAAGATAATCAAGAAAAATTAATCATAGAACTCAATTTTTGTATAAATTAAAATATTCATATAAAATAAAAATATTCTATATTATTACAAAATCAAGTAATGCAGATTTGAAATGAATTCTCAATAGCATCATTTACATCTATTACAATCAATTCCAAATCTAAACAAAGTTCTATCTTCTATTTAACAAAAATGCACAAGATACTTTTAGCGATTTTGCAGTATATAAATGGAAGTTAGAGTAATAGAAATTCATTATTAAAAATAATGAATTGCACTTATCATATTCAAAATCCCATCATTTTGATATGTGTGGCTCCTCACTAGTGCTAAAGGAAACTTTGTCTTGAATGCCAATACGAACATGAAGTGGATATAAAAAAACATACAGTCCCAATAAATAAATTTCAGGATATGGCTCTGAAGAAATTAAAAGACTCCAAGCTTACTGATACATCTGAACTAACCAAATAGAGGATGGCCTTTATAGCCATGCTCACTCAAACCGAATAAATGATGAAGAAAATTTGGGAAGAATTGTCACAATCTATCTAATAAGTATACGATTAGATTGAAAAGGAAAACTAATCATACTTAAACCTCATTAATGAAAACACCAATCTAGCTGAATCCTCTTACACTGATATTGAAAAATTAGTAAATATTGTAGAAGGAAAAACTTTAAATGATTGGAATGCTGATAAGAATTCTTATATGATGGAATTAGATAAGACCAAGAGTTGGTGGGACCAGCATCTTTAGGTGTTTATTGAAAATTCTAACTTTGGAATCTTATAGATTCAATCATTAATTGAGTAAATATTTAATTCATATCTCTAGTGAAGAAGAAGAAGAAGTTTATTAAACGAAAGAAGATCTTTATGAGATGCTAACCTATATCTAGGATATAGATGAATCTCTCTATTAGAAGATTCTTGATATACTTAGAAAAGAGAAAGTTTCAGACATTATTGGATACCTGACGAAGAAAAACAATCAACAGTTTTTTGATTCTTTAATCAACAAGTAAGAGAATATAAAGGAGATCAAGAAGTAAGTAAAAAAAATAACTAATGTCTTGAAAAATCTTTAGGATCATCAATATAATAAAGATGACTATTCTCAAGAGAAATATGAAAAGGAAAGGGTGGATCTGATCAAGAGGATGAAGGATAACAAAGGGATCACAGAGTTCATCAAATTTTTAGTACGACTAACATGCATAGATGTAAAATTCATTCAATTGGGATCAAATGGACTTTGTTTATTAGTGGCCATGAAGGTTGATATTAAGAACCAATCATTTGAGAATATACGGATCAAGAATACATCT